CTCCCTCCCTCCCTCCCTCCATTCTTTCTTCTCTATCTCCCTCTCTCTCTCTCCATCCCTCCCTCCATTCATCCCCACTTCTCTGTACCTCCATCCTTCTCTTCTTCCTTCCCTCCCCTCCCCCATATCTCCACCCCTCCTTCCCTTCCCCAAACGCATGCCTCAGTTTCCCCACCGCAAACACTGCGCTGAGCCCCATCTTTGTCACTTTGCTCCTTTATTTGTGGGGCAGGGGGTGGCACCTCGCCATCCCCCCTCAGAAGCTGCGCACTTTGACCTCTTTGCTCTCAGACACCACTTTGCCATCCACCGTCCTCTGGGTGCTGCGCTGCGTAGTGACCGTCCCCTCTGACCCCAGAGCATCCTGCAGGCTGTGGGGCAGCAGTGTCCTTGTGTCACCCACCCCTATGTCACCCACCTGTGTCACCCACCCCCATATCACCCACCCCCATGTCACTCAGCCCCATGCCACCCTTCCCCATTGTTACCCCAAGGAACTTGGAGGGGACATCGGGGCTGGGGTGCCTGGCCACTGGGTGCCACCACTGTCCCTATGCTGTCCCCAAATGTCCCAGCAGATAGGACACAGACGTGTATGTACCCACAGCTCATCTCTGGTGGATGTCACCACTGTCCCTTTGCTGTCCCTACAGAATCCCCACTGGGTGTCACCGTTGTCCCTTTGCTATTCCTATAGGATCCCTAAGGGGTGCCACTGCTGTCCCCTTTTCGTCCCTATAAGGCCACGGAGGTCAGGACCTGCACATCCCAGAACTGGGGCTTGCCCCATTGAATGCCACCGCTGTCCCCTTGCTGCCCCCAAACATCCCAGAGGATGGGACATGGACATTCCAACACCAGGGCTCACCCCACTGACTGCCACCACTGTCCCCTCTCTGTCCTTATAACCCATGGAGTTCAGGTCCTGCATATCCCAGCACTGCCCCTTTGCTGTCCCCAAACATCCCAGAGGATAGGACGTGGACATCCCAACACTTGGTCTCACCCCACTGAATGTCACCACAGTCCCCTCTCTGTCCCTAAAGGAGTACACAGGGGCTCACCCCACTGTGTGCCATCACTGTCTCCTGTCTGTTCCTATAGGGTCATGGAGGTCAGAATGTGGACTTCCCAGCACTGGGACTCAACAGTGATGGATGTCATCGTTGTCCCCTCACTGTCCCCTCTCTGTCCCTTTAGGGCCACAGAGGTCAGGACCTACACAACCGAGTGCTGGGTCTCTCCCCACTGAATGTCACCACTGTCCCCTTGCTGTCCCCAAACATTCCAGGGGATGGGACATGGACATCCCAACACCAGGGCTCACCCCACTGTGTGCCATCACTGTCCCCTATCTGTCCTTATAGGGTCATGGAGGTCAGAACATGAACTGCTCAGCACTGGGGCTCAACACTGATGGATGACATTGTTGTCCATTCACTGTCCCTTCACTACCCCTAGAGGACCACAGAGGCCAGGACCTACACATCCCAACACTGGCTCTCACCCCACCCAGATGCCCCACAGTCCCACAGTGATGCCACCCCCAATGTCCCACCTGAACCCCTCTCCTCCCTCGAGCAGCGCACGGTACGTGGCAATCTCAGCCTCCAGCTTGCTCTTGGCATCCTGCAGTGCGCAGTGCTCCCGGTTTTGACGCTGCAGTTCTGCCCGTGCCTGCGCCAGCTCCTCCTCCCCGCGCAGGATCAGGCCTTGCAGCTGCTCCAGCTGCGCCCCGTATCGTGCTTCCGTCTCTGCCAGGCTGCCCTCCAGCCCCGCGTTCTGCAGTGTGACCCCAAGAGCTCAGTGGGGGTAGGGGGCCCAACACCCCCCCGCCCCCAGTTCCCTCACTCATTGGGGTCATTCTCTATGAGGCTGGGGGCTCTTGGGATCAGGGACATCCATGTAGTCACTCCTTATGGGACTGAGTGGTTTGTGGGACTACCATGGGATCATGCACTATGGTGTTGGGGACTCCTGGGGTCAGGAAGCCCTATGGAGTCACTCTTTATGGGGCTGAATGCCTCACAGAACCTCCATGAGGACACCCCCTACAGGTCTGGGGGCCCATGAAGACAGGGACCCCCATAGACCCACACTTTATGGGGCCAGATGGCTCACATGACCCCCATGCTGTTGCACTCTATGGATCAGGAGGATGGTGGGAACCCTATGGGGTTGTACTCTATGGGGTTGGGTGGGCTGGTGGGATCCCCATGGGGT